CCCGGCGTGCGGGGCCCCCTCCCGGCCTGCGGCTGCGCTGGGCTCACCTTCCCCATGGCTGGTGGATGGAGGTCAGTGATGGGCCGCCCTGGCGCGCGCGACTATATAGCAGGAGGGTTGCTGCGTTGGCAGGAACAACACAAAAGGGGCCCGCGGGGTGAGGAGGGGATTGTCGTGTGCTCTTTTTTCTCTTTGCTGTCATAGTCCACGGGGCTCATTGTAGGTTTTGGTCCCTTTCTCTCTGGAGTATTCGGGTTGCTATCACTGGCTGATGCTATTGAGACGGTTTGAAAAAAAAAAAAAACAAGTAATTTAGAACATTGTTGATTTAATAATAGAAATAGAGCTTCAGCCATTTCATATATAGTCTACACTTTTATTTGTATAGGCTGGGGAAAAACAAAAAAGTGTAAGTCAGGGAGCAAAAAAAAGCAGAGTCTTAACGTTGTAAATATAAAATTAATCTGTCAGATCTATCAAGGGACATGTGTGCCACAATATTGAATACTAATTGTTAATAGGAAGGAAATGACCTTAATGGAATGTTGAAAATTTCAACTTAGTCCTTTAAGAGAATTTTCTTATTAAAGGGTGTAAGAGATTGGAATGTTTTACCAAGGGAATTCACAGAACTTCAAACATGCAGTACGGTAAAAACAAAAACAAAAACAAAAACAAAACAAAACAAAACCAAAAAATCCCAGCAAGCCCAGATCTTCAGTATTTGGTCTGAATTTGTTACAGTCTGGAAGTAGACTGAATTTGTTACAGTCTAGAAGTAGACTGAGGATTAGAGGTTTCATCTTGGCTAATTGTAATTTAAAAGGGAGAATAGTTTTAAGAGGCTTCCTCTCAGAAAGAACTAAAAGGGAAATTTCTAACTTGGACAAGATAAGAAAAAGTTACAACACAAAAATCAATTACCTCTCAGGTTATTATAAAATAAAGCCAAATTCCTAAGAAATCCATTTCTAGGAGGAATCTAGATAGACCTTTTCCTCGGGGAACAAGAGTACACAAAACTTTTGACTCAACAGAGATTAATTGCATGAACACAAAGAGGAGCTACAGCAAAAATGGGGAAAGGAAGGAATAAATCTGGAAGCTGAGACTCTAGGAAGACTTTAGAAAGTATTTATTAGCCTGGAAGATAATAGTTTGATGGACTGGAAGGAGCACTGGAGTGGAAGATGACCTATGACTTTAGCCTCTTTCATGTTCAAAGAATTATTCACAGTCCTGTGTTGTCTCATGGAAATACTTTGTCTTGACTTTGGGTCATAAGTCTTTGTAAGTTGGTATTTATAAATAAAACATCAGCTCTGTGCAATATGATGATTTCAGTTCTTGTTATCCACTATAGATAGGCATATGTTTGCAGAGTTACTTCCGTTTACAGAGTGGAAAATAAGCAGCCCAAATCAAAAGAATAAAAAAAAATAATGATTTTAATTAAAAATTTAAAAAATAATAGTTAACAAAATAAAAATTTTAAAGTTGCCATTTTGCTCAGAGTTGTTTCTGTGGGGAAAGTGTTGATCGATAAAAAACAGTAAAACATGAGAAAGAAGCGAATGCAGAGTCCTAGAGAACACTTAGGGGAGCTGGGGGGGGGATGGCTGTGGGGACCTCCACTACCATAGCTGACATACAATTACAGATTTGGGATACATCTGGAGGGCCAAAACAAGGGGACTCTGCATTTGGTTTTTTCATTGACTAGGAAGAGAAAAGGCTTTATTTCAGCCTGGGGAAAGAAACAGGGAAAAAGAGAAAAACAAACAAACAAACAACTCACAGTTTTCATCAAGCGAAAAATGAATGGCTTGGGCCAAAATGTGGCTTGATTTTAATGTTTTACAGAAAATTCCGGCATTGACAAGTGTGTGCTCAACCGAAGCCCCAAGTTGCACTTAGTGTGCTAAGTGAGCAGAAGTTAGGACTTGAGAATCCTTACGCCTATAGCCCTGAAGCAGAGTTCTGTACAAGCTGCTGGAATGACTGATGGGGACCGTGTTGGAAGGAGAATAAGAGATAAGCGTCAGGCACCCTCAACCTGAGCTCTAGTCTGGCAAGTAACCCTTTGTCACTTCTAAATATTCAGGTGGTTTCCAACAAAGGTGAAGGCAAAAGGCACGAGTTCAGGTTAGAGTTTTGCTGCATGCAGGGTCAAAGATTTCTGTAGCTGCTGTAAATGTCAGTCTATAAAACTAAGTATATAAGAAATACCACTTTCCTTATCTCCTAGAGCTCGAAATATTTTATGAATCTAAGTCTCATTCCACTAGCATGGAGAGAAAATTTCACTGTAGTCATTGCTGGGGTTTCGTTACCTCATGTTTCCAAGCTCCGTGTTTGGGTTCTGTGGGCTTAACATGAGACCAAGGCATCTCATAGGGGGAGAGGGTGCACTGGGAACTCCCGGGGTCCTCGGTGGTGGCTCTCCCCAGCTTTCACACCAGCATGGAAATAAGAACTGGCGGCTCCGAGGGCTGTGGAACTGGGATGTGTTTTATTTGGCCAGCATAATGTTTAGATGTTCTCCATGATGCTTTGGGATGGTTTGCACTTTCCACAGCTCACCATACTCTTCATCACTCCTTGTGGTCTTAAAGGAAGTTGTTTTGCTCATGTACATCATCTCTCTGGCCCCTGAAGGTATTGAGCTGCAACCTCAATCAAGAGTCTTCAAACTCTGCTCAGTTTTTGCCAAATGAAAACACTATACAGCAGAGCAAATTCCATATTTTATTAGGAACTTGTGTATTTGGGGGTGTTATGATGTCCTTTTGTAAATATCTCTTCTTTTATAAAATAATGTATGAGTAGATGGTGCTTAGTTTTACGATTTTGTTGTTTTGTTTTTAATCTTAAAGGTCCTTGCTTGGTGAAATAAAAATTGGCAAGTCTGTGTTGGTCTCTGTTTAAATAAAACTGGTCTGGGATATCTAAAATATTGAGAACCATTTGATTTGATATCATGATTTAAGCTATTTGGTATCATAAGAAATATGTAAATAAATATTACTGCATTTGTTTCCCCTAGAAATTTGTCTTGGGATGACTTTAAAGTACTAAATAAAAGTACTTGATAAAAGTGATTACATATGTATTATTTAGTACTTGAGAAGTACTTGACTTTAAAAAGTGATTACATGGGCGCCTGGGTGGCTCAGTTGGTTAAGCGACTGCCTTCGGCTCAGGTCATGATCCTGGAGTCCCAGGATCGAGTCCCGCATCGGGCTCCCTGCTCAGCGGGGAGTCTGCTTCTCCCTCTGACCCTCCTCCCTCTCGTGCTCTCTGTCTCTCATTCTCTCTCGCAAATAAATAAATAAAATCTTTAAAAAAAAATAAAAAGTGATTACATGCTTACTGTTTAGTGTAAGCATTTCATATTCTCTCTGTGTAGAGCTCTGTGGTGGTGGGGACCATGCCTTTTATTTGTTTTGGTTGTTTTTTTAATCCTCAGTGCTACATATGGCAGGCCTATGGTAGGTGCTTAGTAAATGGTAGAGATACTAACTCAAAGAAGTTAGGATCTTTGGTGGCTAACAATTGGGCAGAGTCTATTAAAATTAAAAATATCTTGTGCTATCATTGGGCAGTCTCACTTCTAGGTCTCTAGCTTCTAAAAATTATGGTGTGTGTAGATAAAGGTGTATGTACAATGATATCCTTTGCAGCCTTGTTTGCAAAAGGAACATTGGACAAGCCCAATCACCAATGGGTCAATGGTAACATAATCTAGGGAGCCTTCAAATAAGAAATAATGCAGTCATTAGACAGAATAAGGTACTGACCTAGATCTATGTCTGTATCATTTTGCATGTTAAAAGCAAGTTGCAGACTAATATGTACAGCATGGTTCCATATTTGCCAATAAGTAAGTAAATAAATAAAAAGCATGTTTCATGAGATGTCAATATAAGGAAAGAAAAACTTCAAGAAGGGTGCCCAACAAGTGTAAAGAAGGGTTAGCAATGAAGAGTGGGATCAGAAGGACATTCTCTTCTTTCTTTATAGAATTTGTAAAGTAGTACGATTATAGGAGGTTTTTAATTTGGAGGAAAAATTTTAAAAATAAATTAATTCTCTACTGACGAAAAGATTTTTAATTTTTTTTAACTTGCAGGGCTTTGCTTGTGAGCAAGCAGATTTTACTTCAGGTGAAGTCTATTTAAGTGTGCCAGTATGGTTCAGTCTGTTAAGCGTCTGCCTTCAGCTCAGGTCATGATCCCAGGCTTCTGAGATCGAGGCCCATGTCGGACTCCCTGCTCAGTGTGGAGCTTGCTTCTCCCTCTCCCTCTGCTTGCTCCCTCTCGCAAATAAATAAATAAATAAATAAATAAATAAATAAATAAATAAATAAATAAACAAAATCCTTAAAAAAATCAAAATCTATTTAAAATATTCACATGTATCTCATTAATTTATTTGAAATAGCTGCACTTCATGTAGGGTTTGGCCCAGGGGATATATTGGCCAGGAGGTGCACTCAGGTCAGGAGGCATTTTAGAGTAGGAGGGGGGATCTTCAACCGGTCCAAGAGTATGGCAATGTCCAATGGCAGCCTTGACATTAGTTACATCATCCTGTGCTCAAAAGTAAACAATACTACAATTTCCTTATGTTGTCTAATCAGGCTTTTTGCCAGGTGGGCTTCTCTTCACTGCTCATCAGTGACCCTCTATGGCTTCCAGTCACCTGCTGGGTCCAAAGGAAGCTCCTGGAATGCTGTTCCTCAGGGCCCCCAACTGACTGCCTCCCTCCTCACCGGTCAGTCACCTTCTCCCATCTTGCTGTGTTGGCCTCCTTTTCTTTCTTACACAGGCTACCTCCTCTTTCCACCCCTACTTCTGAGCCTGTTTCGGACTCATTCTACCTTGCGGAGCCTTCTGGAACTGACCCCTCCCCACTCATTCGCTCCTCAGCTCCCTGTTAAGGGAGCATTTACAGGTGGATTCATTGGCACACAGTGAAAGAAAAACAGAAGTCAGCAATTGCCAACAATACAGACTAAGTACTTTATTAGGTTCCAAATTGAGAAAATGGTAGTGTGAACCTATTTTAGTATAAATCCACTGCCCTCCGCAAAGAGCCTGCCTTAGCCTCCGTGGCCCCCCAGTCGTGGTAGCGCCTGTATTCTTGGGGCCTCAGCAGGTACTGTCGCCCCTGGTAGTTGGGCAGCTCGTAGAGGACCCAGCAGCCCTCCAGCACGTGGAGGGAGCGGACCTCACTCAGGTGGAAGCGATCCTGGATGCAGGAGCAGTCCTCGCTCAGCTCCATCATGAGGCCTTTGTGGTCCTCTCTTTCATACAGCCGCAGCCTGTGGGAGCTTGTCTGCCCGGTCCACCGAGAGAAGGAGAGGAAGAAGCAACCAAACAACAAATGAACTTGGTAGGTTGGGGCATGAGATCACCCATGAAAAAACCTGAGACCCTGACGTTGCTGGGTATGCCGTGCACAGAGCTGTGTTCTACTGGCATTTAATACATGCTTGCCTTCTCACTTTTTATTTCATATCTAGGAAATGTAAATTTTAAGAGGTTCAAAGTCTGGGTTAGTGTCCATCAAGAATTCAAATACCTTGACTCCTCATTCCCTAATTTCCATTAATTCCTAGGTGATAAGTCAAATGTATATTTTGGGGGGGGGAATGGAAAGTATTTTGACTAATATTCTTTTAATATGAGTATTAATCTTTTTTTAGAATGAGTGTTATCTTGCAAATTTATATTCATATAAATTTATAACTAAAGCTGGACTTCAGTGAAAATTAGCTTAACTTCCCCATGGCTGGTCACTTGGAACCAGAGTTCAACTGCTTTTCCAAATTAAAGGCAACTACCTTTTCCAAGGTTGGACACAAACTTTGAATGGCCTCTATTAACAAGACAGTTTCCATTTTTTGCTAGTCGGTAGTGGAACCCATCTAAGTCATTCAGCATCGATTCTTTACTGTTAATTAAAATTACAATTTTACAATTTTACGTTTTTAAAATGAATCTGTTCGCAATACAGCCTTCTTATGTCCAACCAGCTTCCCATTGGCACGTTTTGTTCTCTATCCCACTATGAGAGTACACTGGTTACAGACAACTTTGTAATGGACATAACGGTAGCAAAAATTAACAATAAAGCGGACTCTTCCCATGAGTGACTTATTCTTGTACGCTCTGCTGTTTTTGTGCATTTCTCTATCTGGGCTTAGGCAGTAGTTAAAGCCCACTCTACCCCTTAGGTGCTTTTAAAGGAAAACCCTCCCTCACCCTCACTGCCGTCAATAATCCGGTGAGGACAGGCAGGCAACGGAATGGAAGTCAGGAGGCACCCACCTGGGGGATGAGGCGGCAGGAGCGGATGGAGTCGCTGAAGCCCAGCCACTGCTGGTAGTCGGGGTAGTCCCCGCGCCGCAGGAAGTACTGGTGGCCCTGGTAGTTGGGGCGCTCGTAGAGCATCCAGCAGCCGCTGTCCACGCGGATGGAGTTGCAGCGGCTGAAGTAGGGCTGCAGGTTCGGGTGGTCACTGCTGCACTCGTAGCAGCGGCCCTGGAAGCCGCGGTCCTCGTAGAAGGTGATCTGCAAAGGAAGAGTGATTCCCAGTTAAAGCGGTGGCTCCCAACGGATCTGGCAGAGAGGTGTTTTTCTTTTTTTCTTTTTACTTAACTCGCATCCCGCTCACCTTCCCCATGGCTGGTTGACACCGGTGTGCGAGTTCAGTGTGATGGGCCAGCAGCGCCGCGGGTCTATATAGCAGGAGGGCTGCTGTGTTGGCAAGAACAACACAAAAGGGGCCCCAGGCGGTGAGTAAGGGGATTTTATGGATCCCTTTTACGTGCTGCATTCAGTGGAAATGCCTGTGGAGTTTGCCCTCATTCTCTGGTATATTCTAACGCTGTTCTGGATGCATCCTAGTTGAGTCCCCAGACTTGCTTTTATTTGGATTCTTCGTGTTTTCTAAATTTATCAGCACATCAGTCTGAACTGTTGACCCGAAATTCATGTCTCTACGGATATGATTCCATTCTGCTCCATGTATTTTCTGGGGGGAAATCTCTGCCTTTATAGAAGTGCTCCCCAGTTCCAGGGGCTGTCTGTGATGTAGAATACCACAAACACTTGATGGCAGAGGTCACTGTAACTTAATTTTTTTTTCTTTATACGATTTGCCAGTCTAGTGCAGGACACAGATCTGGATTCTGATCTTTGCTAGTTTTGATTGTGGTGACCTGAGGCTTTAAGACACAGCAGCAGCTGACTCCTCCTTTGGTGGGTCTGTCTCATGTACTAGAAATCAGCCCTGCAAGTCAGCTTGTGATAAGAACCAAGGGGAAAATTTCTCTGGTCCTTGGGTCCCAAACTGAGAAATGTTTGCTTTTTTGGAGTGCTTTCCCTTTCCAGGGAGGCAGTAAAGCTTCATAAACTCAGAATGTCCACTTAGCAGCCACATGAACTTGGCAAGCCACATAGCCTCCCAGAGCCTGAGTTATTTCATAGTACTTATATCGTGGGATATAGTAAGTTGAAAAAGAAAGAAGGAATAAAAACAAAGAGAGGTATTTGCATTTAGAAGCTGGCCTGGCATTCAGAGCTAAGCCATGTTATTCCTCTGTTAGACATAAACAATTTCCCAGAATACCAACTTCAGGCAAGGTTACTCTGAGACTCTGACGCAATGAGACAAAATAGGGCCACTTCATCATTTTGTCTAAGCATAAGCAAAAACAAAGTTACCGTGTCACCCACACAGTACCAAACACCCCCTCTCTCAGCCCAGATGATTAGCTGCTCCTTCTTTATCAGCTGCAGCTTTATCCTTCTAGGCTCCCCTCCCCAGGAGTAGATTTATTGAGATATCCAATCATAAAATTACCCCCATGTTCCGACAACATCCAATTTAGAGTGAAGCCCTGCTCTTTTAGGCTCTTCTCCAAGTCACCGAACCAAAGTACAAATCCTATAACAATATCCTTTGCTAACACCCTTTGCTGAGGCTCCCCACCCTTCCTCTTAACAAGTAATAAACCCAACTTGCTTTGTGACAGGTGTTCGGGTGGTCTTTGGCTGAAGGACATTGACATGAGTCAATGGATTAGGTGTATAATGTGTTTGGCATATACTTGGCATAAATGAGCATTAAGTAAATGCTCGGTGTTAGTAATAGTGCAACACTGCTAAGGATGAGGTCAGCCTATTTATCTCTCTCAAACATAGTCAGTCCTCTCAAAGATGCTTGAAAAATTTCTCTGCTATGAAGCCATTTTTCAGTTAAAAAAAAAAAAGTAGATGTGGAGGGTACTTTAGAAATCATGTAGTGGCTTTCAAACTCTAGTGTGTGTAAAGACTCACCTGTGCTTGCTAAAATTGCAAATTGCCAGGTCCTACCCTCTCTCAAGATTTTGTATCATTAGATGCGGGAAAGACTCCAGGAATCTGTAGTTCTAACCAGCACTAGATCGTTCTTGGATCAAACTTTAAAAAACACTAGTCTGGTTTCCTCTTTTTTTTTTTTTTTTCTTTTGGTAAGGAAAGCATGGTTTAGGCATCCCCAGCTAATGTTTTATTAGCACTTACACATTATTTTCCTTAAACATGCAGGCAGAAGAACTCTCTGCTTTGTTCTACAAAGTTTTATATGCACATAATGAGAGAATCAAAGCAGAAATACCAGCACTTAAATGATAGTGCTGATTAGACAGGAAAAGAGGCGAAGGGCTCAGAAAATGCAGAGTACTAAACTTTAGTCTTGTTTTTTTCCAGATCTTTCTCTTTCTCTCCTGGGGCGCCTGTGTTCCCTTTCTTTACCTACCTCCCCAATCTCCCCTCCCCATCACCCTCCCCTCCAGCTGCCTTGCTTGGACTTTCATCCTATCTCAGCTGGACTGTCCACAGTCTCCGGACTCTGTCTAATCTTGCCTTCTTCCAAACTGCATTCTGCCAGCATGCCAGGGTGAGCAGAATCAGAACACATCAAGTCATGTCACTGCTCTGGACTGAATGTTTGTGTCCCTTCCAAACTCATATGTTGAAACCCTTATCCCCACTGTCATGATGTCTGGAGATGGGGCCTTGAGAGATAACTAGGTCCTGAGGGTGGAGACATCATGATAGGACTAGTGTCCTTAGACACTGGAAGAGATGGGAAAGAGTTTGCTTCCTGTCTCTGGGTGAGGGCACAATGAGAAGACAGTCTGCAAACCAGGAAGCTGGCCCTCACCAGACACTGGATCTACTGGCACCCTCATCTCCGACTTCCCCAGCCTCCAGAACGGTGGGGAAGAAATATTTGTTTGAGTCATCCAGTCCATGGTATTTTTGTTATAGCAGCCTGAACTAAGGTGGCCACTCATCTGCTTGAAACCCTTCACTGGCTCCCATTGCCTCCAGAATCAAGTACTGGTTCCTTAGGATGGCACACTTGACCTGAGATCCTCTGTCTTCAGACTTCCCGACGGATCACACCGAATCACTTGTTTCCCAATGCACGATGTTATTTTCACATTTCTCGTTTACCCCCGAGTTTTACTGAGATATAATTGAAATATTACATTGTATAAGTTTAAGGTCTACAACATATAGATTTGATATATTTATATATTGCAAGGTGATTAGCACCATAGCGTTAGCCAACACCTGCATCACCTCACATAATTAATATCTGTGTGTGTGTGGGAACATTTAAGATCTACTCTCTTAGCAAATTTCAAGTATGTAATACAGTATTATTACCTATGAACACTATGCTGTACATTGGATACCCAGAACCGATTCATTTTATGGCTGGAAGTTTATGCTATCCTTCTCTTGTTTTTTAATATACTGATCCTTCTCACTGAGATATCAGTTCTGCATTTTTCACCCAGAGTGAGGTTCATCTCAGGTATCAATCCCTCTGTAAAGATCTTCTTGAACCTCTCCTAACCTTCCAGGCTGAATTTAATACTGCCAATTTGGTTCTATCAAGCATCTTGCTCATACCACTGTAATGGTAATTATTACGTATCTAATTATTTTGTTTAGACATCAGTTCCTTAAAATAAATGAGGGCAGCCCCTTTCTGGGCAGGAGCTAGTCCATCTTTATTTTTGTATTCCCACTAAGTGGCCGAATGAACTGGCACATAAAGGCTACTCAGTAAATGCCTGGAGGATATGAATGTTACTCCCTAGTCTGAAATCCATTGTTGTAATAGTCCATGGGACCTATTTTGCATGCTCAGCACAACCAGCATACACAGTCCCATCAAAGTTCAGTATTTGCAGCTTTCAATGTGTAGGATGACACAAGCGTTCTGCGTTTGATCTATTTCATGGGCCTTTATAACAGGGGAGATGAGTAAGCAAAAGAGAGAAAACAGGCATGTTGTGTTCTCCCCCAGACCTTCTGTTCCTTGGCAATTCTGTCAAATTTTTGTGTTTCCTGAGATGCCAAATTAATACCATAACAGCAGTGGCCAATTCCGGAGTGTTCCCAGTGCCTCAGGTCCAGGCAGCAGTTGACCTTGACACCCGCCTTCCTGCTTCCTAGTAACTAATGTAGCTTTTGTATCATCCACAAGCTCCATTAAATGAGATAAGGTCATTTGGTTGGCAGCTACATAGACTGAAGTATCCCAAACAAGGAGGCTGGGTGAGACACTGAGGATCACCGTCGTAGCACCAGCCTCTGGTTCTCTTTCTCAGCTTGTGTTTGGTGACTGACCAATAGATGACAAGAATATAGGGAGGGGGCAACCTCTGATCTACCTCTGCTTAACTCCTGTGGCATTCCATTTGGATCAAATTGGCTCTTGTGTGAAAAGCAGAACATCTCTTCTCGTTTAAGCAACAGGTGGTTGTGATTGTCGTTTTTGCTTTAACAAACCCACAAGAAAGCTTTGAACCCCTAAAGGCTGGAAGGGAGGGAATAAGACAGTAGCAACATCAGGACCTAACGCCGTGGCGGCAAGGCAGGATAACTGGAGAGGGAGGCCATAATGAGGAGCACCCTTTGAGCATGTAACACAATATAGCAGTTCGTGGCGCTTCTTTATGGAATGACTTCAGTTTCTTTGCTTGGTGGGTCTTATATAGGTTAGATTGACCAGAAGAAACTATAGGTTGAAAGGGAGAAAAGAGGGATAAAGGGAAGAAAAAGGTTTAGAATCTGGTGCTCATTTTGGCAGCATGCATTCTAAAATAAGAGTGATACAGAGGAGGGCGCCTGGGTGGCTCAGATGGGTGGGCGTCTGCCTTCGGCTCAGGTCATGATCTCAGGGTCCTGGGATCGAGTCCCGCATCGGGCTCCCTGCTCCTTGGGAGCCTGCTTCTCGCTCTGCCTCTCTCTCTCTCATGAATGAATAAATAAAATCTTAAAAAAAAAAAAAAAAAGATCAGCAGTGAAGGTCTTTTACTAACTTTTCTTCTTTGCTCAGTTTTTTTTATTTTTAAAAATTTACGTAATAGGGGACGCCTGGGTGGCTCAGTCGGTGAAGCGTCTGCCTTCGGCTCAGGTCATGATCTCGGGGTCCTGGGATCGAGTCCCGCATAGGGCTCCCTGCTCCTTGGGAGCCTGCTTCTCCCTCTGTCTCTAATTAATAAATAAATAAAATCTTAAAAAAAAAAAGAGTGATACAGAGGAGATTTAGCATGGCCCCTGCACAAGGATGACATGTAAATTCTTGAAGCAGTTCATATTAACAAAACACAAACGATTTAAAATCTGGACTTATTATGAAGTAGGATATACGGGAAATACGGGTGTCTATAACGTGTGTAGGCTGACCCTGGGCTTATCTTGACTTGTTTTTTCATCTTCATGGGGAAGGTTAGGAGGAATCCTGTAGGGTACCCCTTCTCCCATTCCTCTCTTGGAGGCAGCTTCCATCTCAGACCTTTTCACCTCTTTGAGGTTCCAGCAGGTACTTTTGAGAGAAGAGGGAGGGAAGGAGGAAGCATAGGTGAAGAGTTAGTTTGGTCGTATTCCCCCTCTGTTGATTTTTTTTTTTTTAAAGATTTTATTTATTTATTTGAGACAGAGAGAATGAGAGACAGAGAGCATGAGAGGGAGGAGGGTCAGAGGGAGAAGCAGACTCCCCACCGAGCAGGGAGCCCGATGCGGGACTCGATCCTGGGACTCCAGGATCATGACCTGAGCCGAAGGCAGTCGCTCAACCACTGAGCCACCCAGGCGCCCCATCTGTTGATTGTTTTTAATGCTGGGATTAGAGGGAGGATATCATTTTCTTTGCCTGTTCCCCAGGCATGGAAACACAATTTTCTTTCTTTCCTCTTCTTTTTTTTAATTAATTAATTAATTAATTAATTAATTAATTAATTAATTTTAAAAGATTTTTTATTTATTTGACAGAGAGAGACACAGCGAGAGAGGGAACACAAGCAGGGGGAGTGGGAGAGGGAGAAGCAGGCTTCCCTTTGAGCAGGGAGCCCAATGCGGGGCTCGATCCCAGGACCCTGGGATCATGACCTGAGCCGAAGGCAGACACTTAACGACTGAGCCACCCAGGCGCCCTCTTCTTTTTTTTTTTTAAAGAATTTATTTATTTATTTGACACACAGAGAGAGACAGAGCAGAAGCAGGGGGAGAGGGAGTAGGAGAAGCAGGCTCCCCGCTGAGCAGGGAGCCTGATGCGGGACGCCATCCCAGGACCCTAGGATCATGACGTGGGCAGAAGGCAGACGCTTAACCAACTGAGCCACCCAGGCGCCCCTGGAAACAGTTTTTAAGAACAGAAACTTGATCAGTGGCATCCAGGATCTCTAATTTTATGTGCTTTGGGTTCAAGTGTTTCAGGATCATTTCCATGTCTGAAGTCTGTGATTTCATGCCTACCAAGCAAATAAAGTAAAATTCAGCACTGCAAGAAGCTTTTGGCTTTCCAGTTTATGTCTGATATGTTACTATTGGCAAACGGAAAACTCTGGCTAATGTTTCCAGGAAGCCAACACTACTGTTGGGAGTTTAAAGGTTGAAGAACTGGGATTTAGGAATAATTAATACCAAATAATTCAAGAATCTGACTATTTTCCAGGGAAAGAACTCTTATAGATAGCTTAACCATGTGCAACCAGTTAGCCTTGAACACTCCTGGTTCATTCCTCTTGCCCTGATGTAATCTCTAATAGCACATGCTTTTGCTCTCAAAAGTGACTCAGGTTAAGCAACAAATTAGATGCTCGTTCTGTTCACAAGTCACGTGGATGGTAGATTGGAGCCCTGGAAAGCCTGGGATGGAAGGAGACTATAAAAAATAAATAGCCATGTGGGTACAGCTAAGAACAGAGGAGAGAGGAGCAAGAATGAGAAAGAAGACCAGGCCACCCAGCAGCAGGTTGGAGCTTGCAGACTGTTTAGAGCATAGTCATGTAATATTAAATTTGATATTGTTGTACTGCTGTGATCTAAACTCCTCCCACAATCTCTATAATGAAGCTGGCTGCACGCATGAATGCTTTATGTGAGAGATGGTTCAGGAGCTCCAGGAAAAGGAGCTATGTCTCCCACCTGAGTTGGTGAGACGCATGGGGTGGGTCACATGGGGGAGGACAAGATGACTCATCCAATGACAAGGCAGGAATTCAGAGTGGAGGGTGACTGGGGAAAGCATAAATTACTCATTCCCTTTCCAGAATCACAAGAGACATGGAGTATGTATGTGTCAGAGAATGTGGGTACACAAGTCTCCCGCTCCATGTGAGATGACATTTAAGCCATTTCATTAGAATCTCAAAGAATGGGGTACTTTAAATGGCTTTTGACCTGGAACCATCAGCTTCATTTCCAAACTTTGTAAGAAACAGACCAAAGAACCATATTTAATTACTGCGTGCTATTAGGAATGTTGTTTGCTCAGTACCCTTTTTACTAGGACCTACATGAAGACTTTCTTTGAGGTTTCAGTTCTGGGAGCAGTTAGGCTAGTCTTGGATAATTAATTTATTTGTCTCATGGACTCTCTTAGTCATGGAACTGATCTTGATTCCCCTCTGTCCTGGCTGCTGGATTCAAATCTGGCTTTACCTACAACAAACAAAGTGCCTTATAACATGGGACTTGGACTCGAACTTTGCTCCTGGAAGATAAACATCCCCAAAGGAAACACATATACAGTCAAACAAACTTCTCCAGAAAATGTCAATTCCTTGTTCTCTATTTAGTATTGCTTTCCAGGTATAGTCATAATTCTTTACTTCCTATTAAAGAGATAGGAGCCTGAGTTTCCCTATGCGCATATGGTTTTTGGTAGAAATCCTGAAATTCTTCTATAAAAGAGAAAGTGAATCCTATTTGGACTGAAAATCTCCTGGAGGAATGAGGTGTTGACATGGAATTGGCAACCGTTAGAAGGATAAAGAATGCAAGAGTGGAGGGTGACCGGTTTGTTCGTTTGTTTTTGAAGCTAAAGGAAGGGTCTAGATGCTGAGATGACTTTCCTCATTAGGTAGGATTTGGACTATATAGAAAAGATGGTGGAGATAACCTACAAGGATAACTTGAGATGTTACAATAAGTACTAATTTAACATTGTAGCTGCAAATTTATGTTTTTAAGACTAACCATAAATGTCTTTAGCCCAACTGAATTGAACCTTGAGTCTACATGGTTTAGTCTTTAAAAGAATGCTGGCAATGATATCCTTTACTTTGTCCCCCTTATAAGACATCATTTCCCATCATGAAAACGTTTGTCATTATGTTGGGCTAAGTGCCATTATTGCTTACGAAGGCTTAATAGATTAAAAAAAAAAGCAGGACTCTGTAGTGCAAGAAACACAAGCTAAATATTTTATTGGATTCTAAAAGAGAAAAGTGGAGAACATAAATACTTTAGTAAAAATCCATTACTCGTCTGAAAGAACCAACTTTGGCATTCATGGCCCCCCAGTCAAGGTATCTCCTATACTCCCCGGGCCTCAGGAGGTACTGCCTTCCCCTGTAGCTGGGCATCTCATAAAGGACCCAGCAGCCCTCCAGCACATTGAGGGAGTGGATTTCATTGAGATGGAAGCGGTCCTGAAGAGAGAGACAATCATCTGTGATCTCTGACATTTGTCCTCTGAAGTCATCTCGCTCATAGATCCTCATTCTGAACGTGCCGGCGTGCTGAGGGGACAGACAGAAAAGAAAAGATAAATGAACACAAATGGAGAGAAATTAAAGTTCTAGCCCCTACATCTCCCTGGCCCCACCAGCCCAGAAGTTCCTGGAGTCTGGGTTTGCTTCCAGAACAATCACATTGCAGTGTTAAAGAGCCTTCCTGCCTCCATTACCCCCACCCTTCTGGGCCTCTAATGATTTCTAGGCAATGCTAGGGACAGACCTTGGCAGCCCTTCAGTGCTATCCACCCGGCTCTGTCCTTGGCAGCCAAGGTTGGTCTCAAATATAATTGATCATGTTATTAGAGAAGGTCCTTCTCGAAAGAGGAAAGTGTAAGTCATCAGAAAGCAAAGTCCCATTTGATATAGTACTCTGGTTAAAAAGGAATCAACATTTGGCTATTTTCTCTAAGACCAATGTTTTGGTTTTGCGTACACCATAGAACATAAGATTATTGAGCTCTTGTAGGGGCGCCTGGGTGGCTCAGTCGTTAAACGTCTGCCTTCGGCTCAGGTCATGGTCCCAGGGTCCTGGGATCGAGCCCCGCATTGGGCTCCCTGCTCAAAGGGAAGCCTGCTTCTCCCTCTCCCACTCCCCCTGCTTGTGTTCCTGCTCTCGCTGTCTCTCTCTCTGTCAAATAAATGAACAAAATCTTAAAAAAAAAAAAAAAAAAAGATTATTGAGCTCTTGTAAAAAAGAAGATGACACATTTTCTTTGTCTCTGTTTTTATTGCCTCGGTGTCACTTCAGATTTCAACCTATCTGACCTTTAAGCTTCCTCTCTGGTCTAGTCGCTTACCATCTTCATTTCCCTCAGCAGCAAAAATCATCTCCATTGAGCTCTGTTTGGATGCCTACCCCATGCCTCCCACACTCCAGCACATTCTTCTGAGAACTAGGCAAATTACTCTCTAGGAAATACTGATTCTCAAACTTTCATTTTGGAGTTGGCCTTTCCTCTAATATATACCTGTAAGTGAGCTAATAGATACTGACCATGAAATTAGAATAAAAACCAGAAGACAATAGAAAAGTGAGCCAAAGCAAACAAGCGTATTTTTATCAATTAAGTAGACCCAGATTGTATCTAGAAGTTTTGATATATTATTTCTGAGTGGATACCACTTGGAATGATGACTTTAGTAAGCTCTATATTAAACACATGGCAACTTCTGTTTTCCCTCTGTCCTGCTTTTTCTCAGTCAGTCTTTGGCTTTTTAATTTTTGTAGTTACATTTTAAAATATAAACATCTGGGAGCATGTGAGTAAAAATGCAAGCACCACAGAGCTCATGAAGAATGGCTTCCCATCTGAGACCTCCTTCTGGAATGGACTGCAGGCTGTAGGCTCAGTCTCAGTTTTCTGCTCTCTGGTTGGAATGATTTGGTGGAAGAATGATATCTGTTCATGGCTTTCACTTCCGAAGAGACCAGAGACGAGGTCAGAGGCACACTCACCTGGGGGATGAGGTGGCAGGAGCGGATGGAGTCGCTGAAGCCCAGCCACTGCTGGTAGTCGGGGTAGTCCCCGCGCCGCAGGAAGTACTGGTGGCCCTGGTAGTTGGGGCGCTCATACAGCATCC